AGGAATGCTAATACCCAAACCATCACCATCTTCAGCACTGCTTGCTTGGTATTGCCTTGCTGGGCTCTGTAGGCGACCTGCAATGGGGATATCTTTTCTTAGGAATGGCCACACACACCAACTGGTTGAGGCTCTTCATAAATGAACTGTTAGCATTTCTGGTAAAGTTGCTAGGCAATATCCCAGCAGTGTAACAAATTCATAGGCAACAGGAGCCCTTGCTAGATAAATCACACTCCTGCAGGGAAGACTTAGAACCCTCGTCTTGCAGCTCCAAAAACGTACTTGGCTTTTCTTAGTGGAAATGTACTGACTTGGTTCAAGCTTGGCAGTCCCTTGCCTGAGTTGTCCCTAGCTACTCTCTGTCACTCCTGGGCATCAAACTCCCAGGCGAGGCAGAGATGTAGCTCTGGCTCTCTCTGAACTTGTGCTCATTGTAGCTGATCAGTGTCGTATTTGGAACCGGGGAAAAAACGAACAGCAATGGGTCTGATCTGCCTGTGAGTTGCCATCTACCTCCTGCAAAATGCTGCCTATTTTCATCTTACAGCATAATACCCAAACACCTCAGAGAAAGTGTCCTGCAGAAGTGGAACTGAAGTCTACTGCCTGGGTAGCCAAGGAGAAGCTGGGAGTGCTATTGCAATCCACTTATTTGTCCTGGAGATAGCAAGCCCCTGGAAGTTGGTAATAGGTCTGCTTAGGTCGCTGACTCATTTGTACATTATCTTCCTGGCATCTGAGAAGGGAACACCTGCACAATGGGGTTTGAACCTTAAATGATTTAATTGTGCCAGAAATACTAGTCTGAAACCACAACTGAATTCTGTATTTGTGGATAATTACTGCTTTCCATCAGCAGGCTGAAAGATTCATAATTTCGGAAGGATTCAAAAGGCTTTTAATTATTGCAACGAATCTGGAGAAAAAAACAAGGGGAGAATATTCCCCTCTCAGCTGCCATGACAGGACTCACCGCTCTTGTCACAGAGAGAAATCTGTCATAGCTAATCAGTACGATGTTGAAGACCGAAGAGGTGCAGAGCAGGTAATCAACTACCAGCCAGAGTTTGCAGAGGCTTCTGCCGAAGATCCATCTGCCTGTCAGCACATAGGGCACATAAAGGGGAATGCAGAAGGCACCTGCAAGCAGAGGCGTCCGTTTACATTGAAATGCAGGAGCCTGCACGGCTGCCCCCCCGGGGGAGCACGCAGCTGCTGGGCGCACCGCGGCCACG